AAAAAAAAAAAAAAAGAAAAAGAAAAAGATTTGGGGGTATAGCTCACTATAAATGTTCTGGGTTCAATCCTGGGTGAGGGGATGTGGACAAGGACTAATGCTCCTGGGGTTTTTTGATGGTTTTGGGTTTTGCTGTTTTGTTGTGTTGTGAGAAAAACCTCTCCCCCTAAAAATAGATCTGGTTTCCCAAAACTACTCTAGTTGAATAGAAGATCTAAAATGAGTTCTTGTCTCTTTTAAAATTAGATAAAATCCATTAAAAGGTCAGATATACTCTATTATTAAAAAAGCAGGCATGCAGTGAACAAAATTGATGAGAAAAGCCAAAAATAGTTGCCTAATAAACACAAATATGAAATTAAAATAACCCAAAGCAGTACGTCATGGTACTACATAGCTATTTAAGAGATTTCACATTTCATTGTCTACAAAACAGGGACCCAACTAAGCTTAGAATAAAACTCAAACTCCTGAAGGCCGTGTAAGATCTACCCTTCACCCTCTTCACTAAGTAGATTTTCTATACCTATACTGTCAGGCAGACTTTCCAGACTCTAGCCACAAAGGCTGCAATTTATAATTCCTGCACAATTCAAGCTCTTTCCCACTTTAAGGCATTAACACAACTCCCTCTACTCACGCTTCTCTTTGACTAGTACTTTGCATGACTGGCTTATCCTTCACATCTCAAGATTTAAGGTCAATCCTTGGAATGAGATTCTCAGAACACCTACTATCTCATAATAATCTGCCTCTTTATTTCCCACCCCTTCCGATGTTATTTATATTTATCTGTATAATTTTTGTCCCCACAAATCCCATAGAGCTACAGAATACATCAGCTGCAATCCAGAACCTAGCAGAGCCTACCTGAATAAAAAAAACAGAACACAGTTTAGCATTCAATTTATTACTCACTCAAAACAATGAGGACCCCCTTGGAATGCATGCTCACATCAAATATTTTTTATGGAGCCAGATGTGCTGGCCCACACTTGGTGACCTAGCACTCGGTAGCCAAGGCAGGAGGGTCACTCCAAGTTCAAGGCCAGTTTAGGTTACACAGAAAACTCAAGGAAGAGCCAGGTGTGGTGGCACACGCCTGTAATCCCAGCACTTGGGAGGCTGAGGCAGGAGGATTGCTGTTGAGTTCGAGACCAGCCTGGGCTATGTAGTAAGTTCCAGGTCAGTCTCAACTGCACAGTGAGACCCTCTCT